TCATTCTGCAATTTATTGGCATACGTCAGATAATTGATTCCTTTTGGCGACAGACACACTGCAAGTCACATCGGGACACGCGGGGTGGTGAGGTGCGGTGGGTAGGCCGTGCTGTAGGACATTGCTGTGCTGCGGGTCGGCCTACCTCAAGGGGGTTCCTGCGCGCCGCGTGGCGCAAGTAGCCTTCTGAGGAGGAGGGCAGGGAGGGGCGGGGAGTCCCGGATCACAGGAGATACCCAGAAATGAATTTCATCTCGTTGCATGTGTGTTTCGGACGGCCCGGGCCCGCAAAGAGGCCCGGCATGATGTGCGGCTTTTGCGAAGGCGCACGCGACGCCACGCCGGGCGAAAAAGCGTGGCGGCCGAAATAATTTTCATTTTAAAAAAGCATAACCGATACATCCCGCTGGCCGGGCGCGGTGCGCTGCTGCGGCCGTTGGCGCCAGTCGCACGCTAATAACAGTCATGCCAATCGCAATAAAGGCGCGCGAAGGAAAGGCATAGAAGTGCCGCCATATCGGGATCCGTTTCCGGAAAGGGAATAGGCCGGCCGGTCGTCCGCTCGCACTGCAATGATGCAAAGCGCGCGGGGCGGGGCGGGGCGGGCGGGGCGGTGTCGGTGGCGATCCTCAACACTTTCACTCTCCTCCTGTGCTGCTCAGTTTTGATATTTATCTGGGCAACACATGGTAGCAGATTCCCTGGCCGGCTCTGCCGCCGTTGCCGTTGGCCCGCTGCGTGGCCGTGGCGAGGCGAGGCGTGGGGCGTGAGGAGCGGTGAGGAGGAGCCAGCGTAGTGTGCTGAGCGCCGAGTGAAGTCAAGTGAGACGTAGGCCAGAGGCGTTGGTGGCAACAGCGGCCAGCAACGCCTCGGAGGACTTTGCCACAATACCGCGACAGTAACTTCTTCGCCAGACACACCGTGAAAAACATTGTCTCATTTATTTGAGGGAAAGGGGGAAACTTACTTGAGGAACTTCCGTTCGGTTTCCCGAAAGTCCTCAGATTTCGAGGAAGTCTCCTAAATTGTGGGATTTTTCCTCATTTTTTGAGAATATTCCTCAAAATCAGCGCAATGCGCCAACAAGATGATGTCACACCGCAGCAGAACACAAAACACTGTATTTGTATGTGTTTGTTTTTTCTTGCAATTTCGTTTTGCAAAAGTGTTTCAAAAATTTGCAGGAGCAGCAAAGACGTTTCTCCTCCACAAACTAAGTGTCATAAAACATTTTGCTCCTGAAAAAAATAAAAAACAAAACATAATTCTGCTGTTTCAACGGCAGTTATGGACACTGGCCGTATCGTGACCGTGCATCCGCACCTAGGTTTTAGTGTGTGGTGTTGTGTGTGATGTTGCAGTCTACATTTGTCATACCGGAAAACACGACTCGGGGAAGAATCGGGAGGGATGAAACTGATCGAGCGAGTTGGTGGGGATGAAGCCGCTGGACGAATTGGCGGACGGGCGTGGGTGGG